TTGACCAATCCCACCAAAGAATCAAAAATCAAAACTAATTAAGAATGCAGCCTGAGAAATTCAGGAAACTCTCCGTCGACTTTGAGCTGAGCGCTCTACAACTGTACAGAACCATGTGCTGCCTCAAACAGGCTTACGGTCATCAACTCCCCACCAAATTCAAGGACATTTCAAGGAGAAATTTCAAAATTCAAGGAGATTTGGTCAAGAAATTCATGCGGAAAGCCAATTTCCAATAGGTCTACACTTGTCTGAAAGGAATCCTAGTTTCAATTTTCCCACAAAAATTTTTGTTCATGTCCGATCCGGCGAAATTCAAGGAGTTTCCTCATACACAAGCAGTTTTCAAGGAGATTTTTCCTTGAACGCAAATTCAAGGAGTTTTCAAAGACTTCTTGAATTCAAGGAGGCCGAAGGAACCCTGTTCAAATGACCCGTTCTCTGACAGACCTGGGTCGACCAGCCACAGATATTGCTTTGTTGTGATACCAACGACATCTTCTGCCACCAGTGGACCCGACAATGACGCCACAGTTCTGACATGACAGCTCAACTCTTTAACCATGTCTGGACCACGGCAGCGTCCGGTAGTCGAGGTCCGTAACCATGACTGGACGGCACCACCGTCTGATGCGAAGTTATTATTGCATTATGGTACACGCCGAATATACAAAAGTACGAGCTAACGCCTTTAGTTTGACCCAGAAGTCAAAGATAAATGAATTCTACGTCTGGGAAATGCTTTATTGATCAGTTTGACACAAAACAAGCGGTATTAAAAACGTAATATGTCCGGTCGCATTTCCTCAAACACGAGAGAATTACGCGGAAACGTGATTTTAGATTGCATGGTGAAAGAGTTAATGCACTGCGACCTCGTGTCCATCATTCGAGTCAGACGATTCAGAGATTACATAGTATATATATATTTGGCAATATGCTTCACCCATGCACACAAATGTTAAACATGCAGACACCATCCCTTTTCCTGGTAGAACATCTGATTGAAACAACGCTCTGAATGAAAGCCTCATCTCTGGTCACTTAAACACACTATGACCTGCACACGGAAAAGCGCTTGAACAAACTATCTTTCCTTTCCCCATCCCATGCCGGCCGTGGACCTGCCCTTTATCAAACAATGGGTAAAAAAAGGGACTGCCTGAAACAAATCATGCCAAGAAAGCAAAAAATAAATAAAAATAAAACAAAATAAAATCTGCGTAACAAAACCAGTCAACAAGCTCACACCC